CCTTTAGAAAAAAAAAAATCTCTTATTTGTGGCTCCATGAATATCACTGGGCTGCCTACAGCAATACTAACATTAATATATGTCAGAATTCTGAAGGATCAGAGATTGAAACAAGATCTGGATAAATTACTAAGTGAATGGATAAATAATTACAAATAGTTGAGATACCACAGCTCAGCAAGTTACATCTCATCAGCTGAACTTGATAATTGATTATTTGCTTGGCTTTAGTCCCCTGTGAGTGCTGCAGAAGTCTCTGACTTAAACCACTTTCAACTCAAGCTGAATCACTAAAAAAGTTTCAGCTTCTCAAATGTGTGGTGTAGACATAAAAGTTTACCAGTGTCTTGGTACCAGGGTTTATGTAAATTACTCTGCATTTTCCTAAATAAAGAATATTTTCTTGCAATTTGTTTTCTTCCTATTACTTCCACCGGTTAATTACCGTGAAAATATTAATTACATAAACAGAAAAATGTGAATGAAACTATATAAGAAGAAGTCATATATTGTAAAAAAATGTGGAAAACTAAGAAGATAGAAATAAATTTCATTCTCTGCCTTTGAATGGTTAAATGTTTGGGGAAGCTGAACAGAGCTTTTTCAGAATCATTCCTTCTAAGAAATTTATGATGAGAAAAAAGAATAAAAGGAAAATGTTAAAAATAAGATATTCTGCAGCTTTTGTGTTGCTATTACTCTTTTGCTGTAGCTTATACCGCTCCCTTTTCTATATTTTTGCTTTAAGCAATAGATTTTTCTTTTGGATCTTTTCACTTAGCTTGAATTCCAAATGGCCATGTTAAATCTTTGAATTTAATTCTGAACCAGAAGACAGTGGATTGTGGTAGTCAGAAGAGCACAATACATCTTGATAGTCATAGTTGCCTTTAATAGTACAAAGGGCTCAAGTCAAAAATGGAAATAGTCTGATTTAAAACCACAGTGAAAGGTAACTACACTTGATTTTAATCAGTGTAAAATGAAGCAAATTGATATGAAAGATCCTTGATTACTTTTGTAGTTTGGAGTGCAATTTTGTGGCAGAAATAAAGTTTTCCTGTCCTAAGGTCCCCACAAAGAGTAATAAAAATTTGCACTAGAAACAAAGTCATTCCTCACCCCAATAATCTGCTTATCCAGCAGGAAATTGAGGCTGAAATAAAAAAAAAAATTACAGACAGATAAATGTTATAGGAACTGGTCCTGTATGTATTTTAAATAATTGAAACCAATGGAACTCCTTGCATGATTAAAGACAGATACTGGCAAGGTGCAGAATGCTTCTTGGGCTATCAGTGCCACTGATAGAAATGCATATGGAGGAGTTGGTTCCTGCTTTTTCACATCCCCAGTTCTAGGACTGGTTCAGTGGATTTGGTGATTAAAGAAAAATACAGCATCACTGGAGCTGGATGTTTATCTTCTTGCTCATTACCTCTCCATGCTCTTGCAGGACAGGTTTAAGGTGCTCAGCAATTGTTTTGATGGTATAAGAGCAGCTTAGCAGACCTGAAATTCTGGACAATAATGTTCATCTACACAGCAGTTTCACTATTATTAAGTTCTCCACGTATTTTTGAGAATGATTCACAGTTCACTGATTTTGGCATTTAAAATGTGTTCCTTGATATAAATGCTCTTCAGACAGTTCACATTCATCTCAATACAATCTTAAATGCTGTTTAGGCACTCAGTGAGTTCAATATTCTCAAGGAACTTAGTAAACAGTAAAAAAAAGAGAGAAAAATAAATTAACTACCTGGTTGCTTCCATAGCCTCTCACTAAACTTCCCCTTCAATGTTTGGTGGAGACAGAGCATTTGAAGTGCAGAGGTAAAGGCTTCAAATCAAAGTTTTGGTAAATTGGCAGCTGCACTAATACACAGCCTTTTTATTTTCCTTTCCAAGCTCTCTGCTCCATCCAGCCCAGGAGTGGCACATTAAAGAAATTCCCAACCTCAAAAGTGTCTGTGTTCTTCACAAAGCATGTTCTGTTAAAGATACTCATGCCAAACAAGTTATAATGCACCAGTAAAACATCTTTTATTTCAGTAATACCTTTTTCAACAATCATCAGGGGCAGCTGTAATCTAAGTTTAAATAATAAACCAGACATATCTAGAGGATGAGTCAACCAGGCCCCTGGAACAGCCCCTGGAAAGGCCTCCCTTTTTTATCCATTGTCCAAAGGGATAAGATTGGCACCTAATCCAAAGTGGGGTGCAATTGTGTCTTAATTTTTTTTATTCATAGTTTTAGGTAGGAAAAATATCTGAAGTTGCTAAATGTATAATAAGCTAAAGCAGGGGAAATTACCTTGTGGTTTCTATCAAGTAAGAGCATGCATGTGGACCTTGCTGTGCCAAGAATATTAATTGATGGTGACTTGACTGTATTTGATAACAAAGTGAATCAAAATCATTAAAGTGATCTGGTGATTGAGTGCACCTAAAGCTTGTTCTTTCACAGATCCCTGCTCATGCACTGAAACACAGGCTTGAACAAGTAAAGGCTGTTTCTTGCCATCTTTTAAAAACTAAACTTGGGTAAAGTCATAGGTTTGTAGTGCTGAATTCAATTTTATCCAGATTGCATCTGCCATTGTGGAATTTGCTTATCTCTATGTTTATTTGACATAATCAGATCTTGCTGTGGTGCAGGCTGGCACACTCCCTGCTGGATTGTGGAATAGTATTGCTGCCTGACTGCTGATGATACAGGGCTGTATTTATGCAAGGCTTGAAATAAACCACAGAAACTATTAAATTTAAGATTATACCTGATGTGTATCTTTATTTCTTTTAAACAGATAACGGTAATCCCTTGTGATATATATTTAATGCAGCAATAATTACATTTGTACCCTTGTGTTGGTAGTAACACCCAAAACAACATACTATTGTATGTACCCTATTTTAGGAAAAAAAAAAAAAAAAAAGAGAAAAAAAGATTTCTCTGGTTGTGTCTGTATCCTTCTCGGAAAAACAGGGCACTTTGCAACATCTAAATATTATCCCATTGGATTCTATTTAAAGAGTAATTAACAGACACCGAGAAGAATTAAGATTTATTTTTGCTGATTATAGCTGCATTGTTCCCTTTCAGAGGAACTCAAAGACCTGCTTTATAGTTTGATGGCCATTTCATGACACCCAGCCCCCTTCAGTTACATATTTCTATCTGCAAAAAAGTAAATGTTACATCCGAAGCCTTGGGACAAATTCTCATAATATTAATCACAAAATGTAAGGGCAGTCTGAAAAGCCACTTAGGTCCAATAGAGGAAGGTGGCTCTTGCTAAACTTATTATCATTTACTAGTTTTAAAAGTCTGTAATTTCCACTCACATTAATGAATTCTAAATATTATCCTGCTTAGCTGTTGTTTCTGGTGAAGATGAAAGTGTTTTGTTTGATGTATGCAAAGAAGTGACTGCAGAAAATGGTAAATTAATTGGAAGATGTCAGCTCAGAGGAATGTTTTTGACATGAGGGCTGTAAGGCTGTTAACAAACAGACCAACTCATTTGTCTCATCATTAAATGAAAATAGAAATCACAACATTATGATAAAATCTTGACTAGGAAATGCCTGCAAGACTCTTTGAAGCCTTGAGTTCTTTTCTTGCCTGGGCTTTGGCACTCTGATTTATGCAAACCACGCTGCACAGAACTGGAACTGAAATAGGTTCCATGCAGAACAGATGGATCAGGGCTAAGGCAGGGATGTGCACTGCAGATGAGAACAGATTAATACCACAAGGGGAGACTGGAGGAAAATTGGAAAGATGAGGGAATTTGAACTAATTCATGAATCATTTCCAACTGATAGCTATGCCTTCAGGCACAGTAAATAATATCAAGGAAGCATATTTAAAATTTTATAAGTTTGTTTTAATGAAGATTAGAATAAAGAGCCATAATTTTGGCTGATTTAAAAATATTCTGTATTCCCCCATCCCAAAATGTACCTTAGTGATTTAAATATCACAGTGTGCACTGGGACATGAATTGCTGTTTGGAAAACCCAGAGCAGATTCATGGAGTTGGCATGAAAGCTTTTGGGAATGGGATTTTTGGAAGAGCTGTCTGAGCAAGGAGAACATGCTCCTCCACTTGAGTGCAAGCCACAGAGATGCAGCTCTGCTGTGTCTGGAGATGTGGTCTGATTTCTAGATCTCATTCAGATTTCTCTCCAAGTCTTTATCTTATCCAAATAGCCTTCAGTCTTAGAGCTTCAGACTTCCCAAAGCTGTGCCAGGGCAAGTAAATGTGGATGTAAAGATCTTTGAACAAGATCTTCAGACCTATATACAGAACAAGGTTTCAACAGAGTTATTTCATGTCTCTAAGGTACTTTACTGTTACTAATGGATATTTTACTGCGGGGCAGACAAACACATAGAAATAAAGAAGTCCACCTGAAATTTAAAATTATTCTAGCATGCACAAAAACATCAGAAAGAATGAAGATATTTGAGAGGTATGTAACTGCCCAGCATCAGTGAAGGTATCAGTTTTGATTATGAGTTGAAAAGTATGATTCTGTGTGTTAGGACATCAAAAATCCTTCCTTTTGCCAAGCTCACAGTGTATGGGTGAGTCTGATTACCTACATTCATAATGAGTATAGTTCATAAGAGGAAAAAAGAAACTGAGAAAACGAAATGTACAGATAAATGTCTATATGTTCTGCATTCCCTGTATGACTTCTCAGCAGATAACTTTCAAGCTATAGAGGAGGATGTGAAACACTTGACAGTGAAGGAAGATTCTGAGAAAAATCTAAAGAAGATGGGAAGTTCAGTGTGCTAGTAAGGAAGTAAACTACATGGGTTTCTGTTCACCTTCATCTTCTTCAGCACAGAAGATGTATTATTCCTCTTGTAAAAAACTCTTTCATTTCAGGCAAAGCTTAATAAGAACATAGAAAGGTATAGAATGGCTCACTTGCCTAAAACTTGATTCTCATCCTGATGATTTCATTATTTCATTGCAGGTTGCAAATCTGGCCTGTTCAATCTCCAATAATGAAGAAGGTGTGAAGTTAGTCCGTATGGCAGCCACACAGATTGATAGTCTGTGCCCACAGGTGAGTGAAGATTCCTGCTAAAAAGTGCTTGAGAAGCCTTCTAGCACTTAAAAGCATTAGAAAAACAGCACAGCCTTGTCTTTGTCATGAGACTGTTGTCTGATTTTCACAAACTGTGAAAAATGCATCCCATATCTTGAGACCCTTCATATCAAATGGTTTGTAATGCTGTATTTTTAACACAGTCCATAATATATTTGCACTTTCTCTTGGGGAAAAAAGAAAAAAAAAAATTCCACTCCTCCTCTAACAAATGGGGTTTGACTAACAGGTAATTAATGCTGCACTCACATTGGCTGCCAGACCCCAGAGCAAAGTAGCCCAGGACAACATGGACGTGTTTAAGGACCAGTGGGAGAAACAGGTGCGAGTTCTCACGGAGGCTGTCGACGACATCACTTCAGTGGATGATTTCCTCTCTGTTTCAGGTACTGGGGTCAAGAGACTTTTCTAAAAAATACACTCCTAAATTAAAGTATTGGGTCAGAGTGGATAAAAGCTATAATTAGTGAAGCATCATTAATCCATTAGTCTGTCTGTATTGGAATGTTGATCTTCTGTACTCAGTAGGGCCAACCATGCCATGCCATGTTAATTAATTCCTGGTAGTAATGGTTGGCTCTTCACCTCCCAGAAAATAGCACCTATTTGTGCTTCTATTCCTAGAGAAGCTTTGTTTCAGCTCAGGCACAAAGTAGGATTTTTGGCCACCTTATAAAAATGTGCTCCAGACCTGTTACAGGCTGAGAGTATTTGTAGAAATTGTTGGAATCCTTGTGCAGCTGTAGGCAAGAGGAGGAAAGGTGAACTTTACAGAATGACAGCATGGATTGGGTTTGGGAGGGTAAAGAAGGGATGGAGAAGAGAAGGACACTGACCCTGGGTCACAGTCTTTTCTCCATCTTCCTGGTAAAGTGCTCCAGCTTGTGGCAGAGTGTAATGTTATAATTTGATCATACCCAGTGGATGCTGTAGTTGCAAAGTGGTGCATGGTTTGGGTTAATTTCTGCTGCAGAAAAGTTTATGAGAAAAAAATATTGAAAGAAAAAATATTTATCCTCTAAAAAAAAAAATCCTTAGTTTTCTTTTTTTGTCCTCTTTATCTTGTTTGGTTGTATCCTGCTACCCTTATTAACAGGGAAATGTTTTGGTTTAGTTAATTACACTCCTCTGTTCAACAGCCATGCGAGTGTTTCTTGCAAGCCATGGCAAGAAAATGAAAATGAGCTCTCTGAGTAAAAGGATACTTCAGAATATGGGAGCACATTGATTTTTATTTGAGATTTGAAGCTGACAAACATTTTCTGGCAGAACTAGTTCTAAGAGAAAGGGATGACCGGGCTGTAAGCTGTAGACCCAGTCTATGTGCCAGAGTTGGAAATCTGGCTCAAATGGCCATTTTCATCTTTGTTTGAGGGCTTTGCTTACTCCAAGTGCTTGTATGCATAAACCAAAAGTAATTTGATTGGATGATGGTGTTTTTAATTTCTTTTTTCTCAAATCTTAATTCCTTTAAACAGAGTTTTGACTTCGATCCAAACTTTCCGAGGCAGCTGAGAAGTATTATTTCTGTAAAGTTTAGATTCTTTTTTTCCTAATTCTTTGCACAGACATTTTTGTTAAACATGAGGAAACAAAAAAGCCTCTTGCTCTTGCTGTAAAGCTTGGTAGCCTCAGTTTACAAAGAGTATTTTAATTTTTGGATGTCAAACCAGTGAAGCATTCGAAATGTCACTATCTGGTTAAATGTACCTCCTGCAATGACACCTCCTCCTCTTCATATTGACTGTCACATTTGATGGTATGTTTTAATAATATGGTGGCTACCAGAAGGAAGTTGACCATAATTTTAAGAAGTTATTTCATATTCCAAATTCGCTGTCCAAATTTATGTCTCATGTCTTGTTGGTCACAATTTGTTTGTGCCATGGTAAAAACAAATTGGTGATGATGAAATGGAAACAGTGAAGAAAAACTTTAACAAAGCACTGCTTTTTCATTCTGAGTAGGGAGTGTTTTAAACAAAGAATTTTGCCTTGCAAATTGCTCAAATTCACAGCTCAGGGGACTTTCAGTTTCCATCCAAAGTTGTTGCAGTGTAAAATTCGACATCATGTAAAACATTTCTGAAACCCTCAAATGATCCAACCCTGGAATTTTTAACTGTGAAGATTAGTGAGTCATTCTTTTTAGTGGCAAAGGATAACAAAAACCAGTTGGTTAATTCTGTTTTACTACTACTCCAAAGAACAGCATTTAATTTTCGGTTTAGAGGTGTCTCTAGCAGAAAATCAAGTTGCTGTTTAGAGTCACTGAGTGTCTCAGACTGAGTTTGGTCAAATATGAAATTCAGTTGTGGTCTTACTAAAATTATTTTGATGCTATTGACTGCAGAGAAATAATGCTTGACCTAGTCAGAGTCTTCTTCATGCTTTCATATAATTTGTATGTGAGAATATTACATAAATTCTGATACTGCAGCACGTGAGAGTGTATGGCCTGATTCAGAGCCAGAAAAATAACAATGCATCTCCCAAGAATCCAGTAAAGGGTTTTGATATCACCTCCTCTGAGCAGAGTCATTCTTGTCATCTCTTGCTTCAGACTATGCCAAGTCACATGTAATTATAGTGTGTGTTATTAGAAATTCCCAGTTTATTCTCTGGCATAGATGGAGTCAGGGAGATGAACTGCTCATGCCCAGGTTTTGTGCTATCTACAAAGACTGTTTGCTGTTGTCTTTTCAATGTGATTTATTTTCTTTTCTGTCTTACTCAGGCAAAAATGAGCCAAATGTAATAAACATTTATGGGAGAGTGTAAATTCACCTTCAGAAAATTGCCCAACTATTTATTAGAGAATCTACAAAACATTGACTGCTTTCCCTTTTGCCTTCATTTTAATTACAATTTCATTATGCTAAAATTCAGTGTGATGTTTGGAATTAATGTGACTAGTTTTCAAGGAATAACAGGTTGGGACACACAGCAGGAGTAAGATGATGTAGCCCAGTCCCTAATGAAGATAAACACTGCACAAATTTTTACTATTATGTGCCAATATCACAGAGGGGTTTTGTTTTACAGCCTGGATAAATGTAGATACCGATTTTTTAACATACTGACATTTGCCCGAATCAGTAAGCTTTGCTGTGAGGAAGAATGAAATTGAATGAGCTGTATTTTTAACGTGGATTCCAGAAAACCACATCCTGGAAGACGTGAACAAGTGTGTGATTGCCCTGCAAGAGGGGGATGTGGACACGCTGGACAGAACCGCGGGCGCCATCCGGGGCCGCGCAGCCAGAGTCATCCACATCATCAACGCAGAGATGGAAAACTACGAGACTGGGGTTTACACTGAGAAGGTGCTGGAAGCTACCAAACTGCTCTCTGAAACTGGTGAGTTGGCTGAAATGCTGGAAGAATTACTGAAATGCTCTTATTTAGTCATTTAAAACTTTCAGTTGATTCTCCGAGTTCCGTAACTCAGAGGGAAATCTGTTCTTCAAAACAAGGTACAAACAAATAAATTCATGGCCCTGAGTGGGTTTTTTATCCTCTGCTCAGTGCTGTTGCAGAAGTCATACTGACAGGAGCCATATAAGAAAAGAGATTCAGTAATACATCAAGACTGGGCCACTACATCAAAGTTTCTATGATTTGAATAAATAATACACAGCCTTTTCTTCTGAGTTGATTGATTATGTATTATGCATCTCCAGGAAATCACTGCAAATATTACTCTTTGGTCTGTGCAGGTGAATATACTTGCTGATGACTGACGTGTTGCTAAACAGACCAACTTTTCATTGAAAAATACATATAAGCAACTGAAAATGCATCACCTGATTGAAAAAATATAAAAGTCTGCTAGACTGTATAAAATATGTAGATGATATGAAAGTAGAAAAGTCTGCTAGATTGATAGGCTGGGAAGAAATATTATTCTTTTTTTTTTTTTTTCAATCTGTTTTTGCCTTGCCAGAGCAGGGATTGGATTCATCTCAGTGTAGGTGATTAGGTCTGTGCTGGTCATTTTAAAGCCCTTTATATCAGTGCTCTCAGTAATTCAGTGCAGGCAGTGCTACCAAGTGCTCTCATCTGAAAGCAGTGGGTTTGGGTGGTTTTGGGTGAATCATGCTCCAAATTTCATTGACTTCACAGACTGGGTCTCCACGCACTGATCAGGTGCCCTGGTGGGATAGATTTGCACGAATTGTGGGTGTCTGGAAGTGTCTGAGCTGTTCCTCCCCTGCCTGATTGCACTTGTTCATGAGGTTTGAAACCATCAAGATTAGTTTAGAAGGAGCAAAATGAAAATTGCACCAGTTCAGGTCACATCAAATGTGACTTTTGGACTGAAAGCCCAGGAATTTCCCTGTGAGATGGAAGAGCAAAAACTGTTCTAGCTCTGCAGTCTCTGTGTTTGCTTTGAGAACAGGAATCAACAAAATAAGCTAAAATACTGTTTTGGGGATGATTAAATATTACTCGTGGTATTGTAACCCCCAGCTTAATGTCAGCCTATTTTTACTACTGAACAAGAGATCAGTGGAATAAATACTGTAAATTTAGCTCCTTTTTAAAAGTTTTTGAGCTGGTTTTGAGAATTCACAGAAGGAGAATAATCTGTTCAAGGTGACGTGGTAAAATATTTTCTTGCACTCTTCTGTTAAAGTCATCTTTTAGTCGAGGAGGAGCTATAAAGAATTCTTTCAACCATTAAGATTTGTTTCTTTATGAAACAAAATAAAATGTGTGTTCGAGCTTTTTATTAAGCTAACATTTGTGACCAACATCCTATAGATTTTTTAAATTAAAATATTTTTCAACAGGCAAGTGTAAAGTGCCATTATATAGATCAATAATATGCACAGCAAATACTTATATTCCACATTTAATTCACTTTTTGATATAATTTGAATTATAACTAAGTGCAGTAAACTCTGGACTGAGTGTATCTCGACAACATCAATGTGTTAGTGTTGGGATTCAATAAGTTAAGAACAAGTCTCTGTTCCTCCAAGTCAATTTTTTTCTTTAATTTTATAAAGTGTAAATTAACTTGTGAGAATTTTAAAAAGAAAAAAGATTATTTTTACAATATTAAGAAATTTATATCATGTACAAATTGTGTAGCAGTAGTTGAGGGGAGAGAATGGGCCCAAATTCAATGAAGCTGATGAAGCTTAATCAATTTCTGCCAATTGTGAATGTGGATCATTAATATTTGAGCACAATTTCTATCTGCAGCTTTTCAGACCATTTACAAAGGCATTGATTATGATTTCTGCACGATTAAAAAAAGTAGAATTAACTGACTCATTTAATCGCCTTAGAATAAAGTGGTTAAAATGGATCTTAGAATCCCCCGTGCCATTGTGGAATCACCATCCTTGGAAGTGTTCACAAACCCTGAGGATGTGGCACTTGGGGACAGGGCATGAGCACAGGTGGGCACAGTGGTGCTGGGGGAATGCTTGGACTCCATGGTCTGAGAGGTGTTTCCCAACCTCAGCAATTCCATGATCTGGGTACCTGTGACAGAAGGGTGGAAAGGAAGAGAGAAGAAAGAAAATATTAAAAGCAAGGAAAAAGGCAAAAAGGGAAGGAAGTAAGAGGAAACAGAGCAGAATTGCTGTTTGAATACTGAGGATTCTCATCCTGCTCAGTACCCAGAGTGACCAAAGCCAGCTGAGACTTTCCCATTGCCTTCCCCCAGGAGGAGAATGAGGTGTACTCAAGCAGTTACTTCAGAAACTGTAAAAACTGAAGGCAAGAAGCCTGTGCTTCTAAACACATAAAAAGAATTGTCCCTAGAGAGAAGCAAGGAACGGGCAAAGAGGCCAGATCATATTTTCCAAGATTTTTGAGGTTCAGGAAGGAGAAAAAGCCATGACATTCTCTAAAGGTCAAAAAGGTTGGATTTAAGCTGGGAAAACTGGAGTGGACTTTGCAGGGTTGTGATGAAAGGAAGAGAATGGGAAATGAAAGGGATAAGAGCAGAACAAGTAAGACTGGATTTAACTGGGAAAGGCTGTGAAAACTTCCCAACAAATTTCTTTTTTTTCTTTTTTTTTGCTCCAATTTGCACTGGGCTGTTTGAAAGCCATCCTGGAACAGCTAGTGCCATACCACTTGGGTTACTCCTGTGAAGGACATTGGAAATTTGAAATCGTCTGATTCACACCAGAAATTGGGAGTTTCAGCTTTTAGCATGTTTTAAAAATATCCCAGTAACTTTGTAACTCGCTGGTTTTAAGTAGGTCACTCCAAATTCTGTTTTGACACATTTTTTTTTATTTTGTCTTTATCGGAATGGACTAAAGTTGAAAATCAGCACTACTGGCAATTCAGCAATAAGCCTGTGAGAGTTTTATCAGTGTGAGTAGGGCAAACTTTAAAGATATTTATCACTAGGAAAAGGCAGCTCAATGATGTTATCAAAGCTAATACTAAAATGTGGGAAAGATGGATTTTTCTGCAGTGATATGAAAGGAAACAAAATGTAGAAGCAAGAAGATGAATTTAAGCATAGCTGTAATCAAAAAAACCCCATATTGAATCTGAAGGGGAGCTAAAAGATGTGAAATAGAGCCTATTTAAAAAATAAATGATGCTAAATTCATGTTTTATGGGAGTTCAGGTAGTTATAGTAAAACTTATGGGTACCATCATCCTGAGAACATGAGATCATTTATCCAGGAGTTTTGATCAAATTATGACTTATATTCTGCAAAATACTGTAGCATTTTCTTTAAAGTTTTGCAAAACCGAAATCCAAAGGTCAAGATGTCACCAACAAAAAAAAAAAGCATTGTTAAAGAAAGGGTATTTTTCAAAAGCACCAGAGAACACCCAGGATTGTGTCCCACTACTGCTTGGTTTGATATAAAGAATTTTTAACCAGAGAAACTGATCAATATACAGAGGAATACTCTAAGAAATCATATAAAATGCATTATAAAGCAATTAAATGAGACATAAGAGATTAATAAATCACCACTGTAGCTCAAAGCTGAAATGCTAGTTCTTTTTCCCTTCACTTTTAGAGTTTAAAAATGGAATACAGTGCTAAAGGAGAATATAATGTAATTGATCTAGAATTTCAAAGGCTTTTCCTAACGTCCTGCACACACAGTTGTTTGGCAAATGGGTAACCATGGGGTGAGTGTTGAGGCCTTTGATGGATTAAGAGCTGGTGACAAGGCACAAGCAAAGCACAAGTGATCATTTCTCAGCAGGCAGAAAGAGAAATCTTGTGACACTTCAGGGAAGTGGTTGGTGTACGTTGCATTCATTAACAGGTGAATAGGCAGCAGCAAAATTTGCCAAAAGGAAAATGCTGTTTGAGCTGGTTGGGAGAGAAAGACAAGACTAAAAGATATTTTTATTTAATCTCTCTAGGTAAATGGAACAATTAAATCTTCATTATCTGCATTGACAGAAAGGTTCTGAGCTAATTCATCATCTCAGAAAAACTGTGGCACTGTAATGGGCAGCTGAGAAATCTTATTTTTTTCCATGCTCAACAGCCTCACATTGGTGCTGAAGATGTTTGGCTGTGCTTATAGGAGGATATTCACTGAATACACCAAGTAGATATTTCCACTTTCTTCTTCCAGAAATGGAGGAAGGTCAGGATAAGGATTACATAATCAAAGAAAATTCAAGATTTAAATGTGAATTTACTCAGTAAGAGTTTAAAAAATACAAGGGTTATCTATTTTGGATGTGCCAGACACCTTGTAGAATGAATAGTGGGTTAATATAATAGAAATGCCCATTTTCATAAACCAGTATTACTTAATCACTGTTCAGATCTGTTCTCGAAAACATTTCATGCTCTTAAAAGCCATTTTTTAAAATAAGGAGGGTGGTGGTGGAAGTAGAAAGAAATTCTCACCAGGTCTAGAAAATATTGGTAGAGAAATCGAGTGAATATCCATCCACCAGCTCCAACAGAATGTTTTGTGAATACAAGTGTGAATTGTACAATAATGTTTTAAAATAAAAGCACTGGTATTCCTTGCATCCCCTTGCCCACACACACCTACATATTGATATACACAAACTTATTGCTAAGCCAGGAAGGGTGGTTTGCTTTTTACATAACCTACTTGGGTGTCCAACAGCATGAGGCTGCTTTCTTGAGGGAATTTTCTGAAGAGTTTGCTTTCATTTGAAGAATTAACCTGAAGGGTGTTCTGTTTGGCAGGAATAATATTTTGGAGGTGCTCACTGTGTGTAGTCTTGCACAGATAGACAGGAGAGTGAGACAGCTGAAACTGGTGAGACACAAATGTCCCTGCAGCTGATGTTTGTTATCCTCCTCTGCCCACTTTGGGATGTACCTGTCCTTAATCAATGGTCTCCTGTGCTGGCCAGGAGGCAAACAG